GTCTTAATACCTCATATTTGCAAGCCCTTTAAAAAAGAAATTAGAAAGACGATTTACCTTACACCATCTTCATATATATATATATATATATATATATATATATACATACATTTATAAGTCCATTGGTTTGCAATTCTTGAGGACTCTACTTGTCTTGCAATCCGATACAATTTGAATTACAAAACTCTTTTTCATACATATCAAGACACTTGTGTCAGACAGTGCTTGCTAAACCTATGAACAATATGTTTATAGAGTCATATTAAAGAAACATGCAGTTGACATGGAACAGATGGAAGAAAATACAACCAGAATTCATCGTTGCTAGTATTACAGACCTTGACAAATCCAATTTGAAGGGCAGAAATCAGTCATCTCAATCAAACAGTGGTTTAACAAACAAAACAGCAAAATACTAATAGAACCCAGTATGCCTGACCTGAAACATCACTCCATTGAACATCTTCATCACTCATCAGAATGTCGTCAGAATATGATTCATGGATGAAGTTTCAACTTTAAATTTCTGGAAAATACATCTCCCAAAATGATTACTGGGTTATCTACGCTTAAAACTGGCAGTTTTTCTGTTTTGAGATGACTTTTTGTCGATGAAAGAGAAGCAGGGAGAAACATGAAAGAAGCATCCAGGCATGGTTCATGGGATTCTGCAATTCATGCTTGCTGCTCATCTGATAAATGATCTGGTGAAGGAGGAACTTCTTCATTTTCATCAATTTCAGCAGGGTGATCAGATGAAGGAGGTACTTCATTTCCACCATTTTCAGGATGAAAATTTATGGGGAATTTTGTTACCCTAGGTTTATCAGAGAGAATATTTCTTTGGACCTTTTCAATCAAGACCTTTGGTGGGGGTTCCTCTCTCAGTTGCTCATCATCGTAATCATTGTTAACATAGTATCCCACTCGGACAAATTCTTGACCCAGATATGAACAAGTCAAAAGAAGCACTGTCACACCAATGATATCTTCTTCACGAATCTTGGATGGATCTGGTGGGTCTGCCTGCGACATTTCCAACCAAAGGCAGACCAGATTTAAGCACAAATGCATAAATGATAAATGCAGCATAAGGAATCAAATAAAGGAAGGATTAAGTAAAGCTTGCCTGTAATACAAAACGGTAGTTTCCAACGTTGACGGGCCCAACAAGTACACTCTCCAGTAGTTGATCATATGTCTCATCCTCAGCAGATCCAACATAAATGAGTTTCCACTCTAAATCTGCATTTTTTTTCCCCAAAGGAATGAATATCTTTCATCTTCAAATGCATAGTTGAAATCAAAAAAAGCTTTACAAAATTCAGATATAAGCTAACAGGGATCAAGATATAAGCTATTGTAACTAAAACAGGCATCTTATTTAGTAAGATTTTTTCAAAGAACACAATCACAGTAACTGAAGCCCACACCAGGCATTCAAAACTTGTCAAAAGTAACAGAACATCCACGTTTCATTCTGGCAGCAGCGAAAATAAAACAGATGATGCAGACCTCGAATGAAAGTGGAAACTTTTTGAACATCACAAATTTTACATTCCATGTTTACTACAAGAACACGGAGCCTCAGACATTCAATTTCAGGCAGAAATAAAAAAAGTGAATGAAAATGCATCAAATGTGCAAAACCAAAATAATGATCTATTACAAATAGACGTGGGCAGATATTGCTCTCTTCCCTTCAATCTTAAACACATTGGTCCTGGTAGGAAATGTTCAAATAACACTTCTGCTTCTCTCATTTTCTTTTAAAAATCTTTCTTTAGCACAAACAAAACCATTGGCTCTTTAGTGCCCTTGCAGCTTAAACAGAAAATACAGAAAAGGACCAGAGGACAACACCAGCCTCACCTAGTGTCCTTTTAGAGTGCAAAGTTTAAGAAATAAAAACTGAATCCGAATATATATATATATATATATATATAAGAGAAGAAGAAGAAGAAGTAACCAGCATAAATATGGCTTTTCCACTCACAGCATGCATATCACTGAAGGATTCACAATTCCTGAAAGCTAAAACAAACAAGAACTTTTCACCAAGTTGTATTATTTGCTGTTCTGCAGTATAACAAGCATAACTATACATGCATACACGATTTTTTGATCGAAATCCCTATAGAATGCTCATCTGCAAGGCCTTAATCCGTATATTCCACATACAATAAAATTGGAAACAAGAGTTCCACCATTGAAATACCTTCATATGTTGACAACTATAAATTTTAACCATTTCATTGCTTCAAATCACTCACGGGCATAACCATTTTCATCAGCATGCAAAATAGAGTAAATTTACACTTCAAATTCTAATCATCAATTAGAATAGAAATAATTCAACAAGCTTTACGAAGAAACCAAATTAATCAATAAAAACCACAAATTATAGTGAAGAAAACAAAGCTAACCCTAACTGAAATTAAAATCTCATCAAGATTAAAGACTGAAAATGGAATTTAAACACTAAACGGATTCACAGTGATAAAAAAAAAAAAAAAGAATACTGAAAAAGAGAGACTGAAGCACCATCTTTTAGGGGAGTCAAACACTCGTACGATATCTCGAACTGAAAGGGAGCCAGAAATGATGCTGGATTATCCAGTACGGTGACATTTGTAATGTTGACAGCGCTCATTGTCTCGAATCCAAACAAATCCTCCTGTTCGCACACCGATTGCTCGAATCCCTAGCTTTCATAACCCTCATCGAACACGGGAGAAGAAACCCTAGAACAGCACGGAACAACAGAAGCCGAAGAAGAAGCAGGGTGTCAAGAACGCCGGAAGGAGCTGTGGGAAAATGGATTTTAGGCTTTTGATGTGATTTTGGTGGGATTAGAGGTGTTGCTGTGAACTGCGATCGCTAAACCCTAAAACATAATCGAGGAAATTGGAAGAAGAAGAAAGGGAGGGAGAAAGGAATCGACCGAAAGAGGGAAATTTTTTATGATTGGAGAAACGGGGGAAACCGGAGGCATGTGGAGTGGTTACCGGCGATAGCCGGTTGCCAGATTTGGCGGGAGATTGGGAGGTACGAAAATAGAGAGCCTGCCTTATATCGAATTATTTTCTGATAAACAAAGTTATTTTCATCCCACTCCATTCATTAAGATAATAATCTATATAAAATTTTTTTTATCATTAATAAGATTAGAATAAATATTTATGATAACTTTAAATTTCATGATTTGATGGCAAAAAAAGAAAGTTTCTATGATTCAATAAGAAAAATGATATTAAAACAAACTTTTTATACCAAAAATAATTTATTATTTTTATTCATATAAAACTCGTAATATTGAATGCATTCACCCATTTAATAACATATAAAAATTATATAAAAAAATGATATAAAAAAATTATCCTTATAATACCGCTCATTCAATAATTATAGTTGTAAGGCCTAATTATTACTCTAAATTGTATAAGTTCTTATCTAACATTATCTTAGTTTGTTATGATTCTTAATTTAATTTGAATTACATAAAAAATAATGAAAATCAAAAGATTATGATATTTAACATGTCAAAAGAAATTATTTAAATAATTTGAATAAATATTTTTTACATATTAATTTATTAACATATTTAATTTTTTTTATTATCATTAATAACATTTTAATTGTAATGATGTTTGAATAGTGATAATCCCATTACATAATGAAATATGTGAAATGTTCTTGTGCCACATATTTAAGTAGTTAGTGAAATTTTTTTTTAAAAAAAATCTTTAAATCTCCGTACAAAAGAGTAGTTTAGGACACTCAACCTGGAAACTGATCCGCCCTCCATTTTGCATTTTGCATTTTGCATTTTGCATCAAAAAAAGGGAACTGGAAAAACCAATTATGTACAGACTCACAAAGATTATGGTCAGTCTTCGACCGTCACATCCATCTTCCTGGTCTGAGAATGAAACATTTCAGCTATATCTGCAGCTGTACTACATTCCTCTGGATTTCTAGCCGACACGGTTCGAATGAACCTCGGAAATCTCATTGAGATGCCACGGGATGGATGGACTAGACCTACAGCAGCCTGGTGTTTCGGTGATACCGTGAAATCTGCACCTCTTATTTCCCAGACAAGTTCTGGAGAAAACCACATGTCAGGCACCTCGGCTGTGCTGTAGTAAGCTGGCTTTTTGGACAAGATCCTATCCCCGGAAAAGAATTCCTTCATCTGAAATTGAATACAATGCTCACTTACCATAATGATGAATAATTCTAGTAGAAAGTATTCTTTCTTGACTACATCATAGGATAAAACAAGGTAAAACATGCATGCAGCTTTGGTGGAGGATGGCATAATTCTCCGGAGAGAAACCGAAAAAGTCACCCTTTTGCAGCCTTGGTAATTGAAAATGTTTCAGAACACACTTGTGGTTAAAGATCTAAAGTGAATTGATATCAATTGATAGGAAGATCTTCTTAGAAGCTTAAAAATATTTTATAAAATCCAATATATATTACTTGCAAGATATGTTGGCATACTTTTTCACATGAACAAAGAGCATGCACTTGCTAAAAGAACCATACCAATTATTTATATCCTGATTTACCTCTGTGTAAAATGAATCTGAGAATCCAGACATAACACGGCATACACTCTGATATTCTTCAGTGTCTGGGTTGTAACATGCCATGAGGAATGGGCTGTACCTGAAAGAAAGAATTGAGTCATTAAAGAGCCCAATTAATAGTTATATTTATGGAATTTAAATTTAAGCAATTTAAGGTTTATTTTATGAGTTATCTGTATTTCCAATTGTTAGGGATGTACACAACCTGCCTTCCCAAAAGAAAAAGCATAAATGATAGATTCTACAACTGTTAATTGGGTAATGACGAATAGTGCTTATTAAACCCCCGAGTGTTCAATTCTGTCTGAGTATCAAATGCTTATTAGAGATTAAGTAGCAGTCCAATACACCAAAGAGATGAATAATATCTCCATCAATGAAAATATCTTTCCAGAGATAGCAGTAACATCACTAAAAATAAATATTTCTAGTCCTTATATAAGCTGGAAAACAAGAAATCTATTTCTTAGTTTACACAGTTCAATTTGCATCACATAGCGCAAGGAATGAAGGGACAAGAGTAAAGCTAAGGTTCTTACCACCCAGCTTTTCTACCATTGCCATGCCAGGCACCAATTGGGACTAAATCAAGAGAGTCATTCAGTCCTTCCAAATAATCACGCTTCACCTGAGACAGAAACACAAAAAAATCAGATAGATGTGATGGCAACGCAAAACAATCAGATAGATGTTTATCTACACTTCAGGGAAATAACAACCCAAATCATGTGTGACTACCTTTAACCATGAGTCACTACGCTTTGATGGAGAATATCCAGCATCAGTGTCTAAGGATTTAACCATTATCCCTTCACACGAGGAATGCAATGCTTCTTCAAGAAAAGAGTTTATCCTTGTCAATGTGGGCTCCCTGATCAAAAATGCATCATCTGCCTCCACCTATTATTAACCAAGGAATCAAGTAGAGCACTGATTACATAATAATCAATACTGTCAAGAGAGTCATAACCCATAAGACTCATAAGACTTACTGTAATTTCCTTCGCATATGCAAAGTAACCTGGCTTCTCATCATGAAACAAATCCTTCAAGTCTAATTATGTTATTTTTTTTCATCATGAGAAGAGAAGCAGGATTAGATTTAGAATCCGCAATAATCCTACAGAAAATATCCAAAGAAAGAGAAGAAATTATATTGGTGTGCAAGGTGGGGAGGAAAGGGCATACATTTCCGTCTCTGGCGGAGTGGCAAACCCAACAACCTGCAAAAGAAAGTTCACATTTGCCATCTATAAATTAAATATTTATAAGAGAACAGCTATATCAAAAGTACTAGGAATGATATTTCCTTCTACAAATTAAATATTTGTAAGCTATATCAAAAGTACAAGGAATAATATTACTCATTCTTAACCATGAGACAACTACTTGGAGAGAACTGCACAACTGCATGAACTCCATTTACTGCAGTTTACAACAAGTACTCCCAAAACCACCCTTGTGTGAGTCAATGGGGCAGCAGATTATACTAAATAAAAACATATCCTGGATATGGTTCTCCAGATACATGCAAGTTAATCACAGATGAACTTTGAGAGAAGGTTTAAGATACTTACTGCTCTTCATTAGCAAACATGATATCAAACACAAATACACAAATTTCAACCTGCAATAAGATTGGAAAACAAAAACACTTAGCAATTAGGCAGATTTATTAGAAGAGAAATAAACAATCAAACTAGGTGTGAAGTTACAGCTGGAAAGGGATTAAACATAATATCAGAAAAGCATAACGGAACAGTCATTGTATATGGAAACAAAACAAAAGGTTATGTAAATCCACCATCGATCAACTTAACATCTAATCCCTCCTTCCCTTCTCAGTCATTTCCAAATATCATCACCAAATTTAAGCCAACCCATGTCATCCACCCATTAGGAATATCTGCTGTATCAATGCATGATAAACATGCATACAACTTGCACTTAGAAGCACAAAGGGAATGCCTATCTGATATCCCCTATCATGGCTTCTTTGCAGAACTAACAATTTATCAGCATACTAGGGCTATGAAAGACTATCCTAATATGAAGCCATCATTTAAGAGAGCAACAAGCATTAAATAACTTTCTTAGCCATCAAACTCAAACCCACTAACAGAGGACCTAAATACCACAAAGATATATCCAATTTACATAAAAACTTGAAACTTACACAATCAAAGATCAATATTTGAGAAAAACAGTAACTATGTTATTTATCTCAATAGATGATACATCAAACCTTTATACTATCTACAGTAATCAAAGAATCTTTCCCCCCTCGTTCTCTTGAAGATAATTCTTGGAATGACATGAGTTTGCATCCATTCTTCCTATCAACTGCAACTACCTGAAGCCAGAAGGAACCACAAAAATTAGAAGCTTGCAATGGTGGATCTCCAACTCTTGGGTAATCCAGCTCAGCCACTCTGAAGAAAAGTTAAATAAATAGGAAAAACACAATCACAGAGAATTGAAAGGCATCTTGCTGTTACATATCACCTCAGCATCCAATATGAAAGTACTTGCAGCAGGCTTACACGATTCCTTAATAATGTTAACCAAATCTGGGAATCGAGATGTTGTTTCTTCCCCGTTTCGTGAGAAGACGCGCATTGTTCCATCAGCTAATTTGTGAATTTGGGCACGCTGACCATCATATCTGATATTACATGCACATGGACTAGCACAATAAGTAATACATAGTAATTTAGTGTGGAAAAAGAAAATAATCAGAAAATATATACAAGAGATGTCTTCCAACTGAACTCTTTAACCAGTTCCATTCAAGAATAAACTTAGGTAGCAAAAGATATAGCAACATAAATAATTTTGACATTTGGGGAAGCAATTATCAAATAATCTCACATAAGCATGCCCAAGCACGCACTCTTAATTAAATCAAAGACACATACAAAAGAAATTTTAAGTTTAGGATGTAAGCATGTACCCAAAAAACAGTCACTTAGAAAGAAGGGCTTACTTGTATTCACATGTAAAACCTTTGTTTTGAAAGAGCTTTAGTACTTGTGGAACTCCATTAGTAATTCTAGCATAGCAATTAATAAGACCAGCAAGAGGCAACAGCATTAGTAGATTGGATAAAAATCCAAATTAGAAGTAATGGACTAAGAGGTGCTCACAAAAATACATACTTTGCAAGCATGGGTTTAATAGGAATTCCAGGAACCATTGACAAAGCTGAGGATGAAAATGTAATGCCTTTCCTCATAAGCAAAGGTACAACCAAATCCTGTTTAATTGGACATAAGTATACTAGCATTACAAGAATTCCAGCCAATGTATGGACATGAAAAGTGTAAACAAAGAGATTATAACAAAAATAATGCAAACTGTTAATGAAAAGAGGTGAGAGTGTGAAACTGGGAGCACTAGCTGATTAGCAATAGTAAGCTTCTATTGGAATTTGAACAAATCAACACAAATATAAAGACTGCATTACCCTTAATGCTATAATATCATGAATGCATACTAGCTGATTCTTAGAATATGTTGATCACAACAAAGTTTAGAGCTTGTTAAAAGATATGTAAATGAAGTTTTTAATAAAAGATACAAAAGACTTACCAAATTAGGAAGTATATTATATGCTTCAACCACTGCTGATGAGAGGCACTGGCAAGTAATCAGGATCAAATCAAGTTAGACTAAAAGATGAAGTGCAAACACACCTTGGTGCATTAAACTAGAATTATTCAAAAATAATACCACGTGAATAGAGATAGACACAACAGATGCATTCAGTTACATGATTTTAAACAGAGCGGAATTTGATCCAAACATGTCAATGGACTAATCCTTAATTTCTTCCTTTTGTTTTGGTGAAGATGGGCAGTTAATGGACTCAAAATTTTTATCCTGGTATGTTTTTCTCAGACATAGCAGGATGGTGCAAATGCACAATGATAGGAGCTTGTGCAATTTCCTCTCTCCCATGTTGACTTTTCAAGAGAAAGCTAATAAATGTTCTAATTTTCTATTATAATGTGATGACCATTTTAAATTCAATATGATTTTGTCAAATGGGAATTTCTTTTCTATTTTTTACCATCATAAACATAAGTTTTCAAAACAAAAACAAAAAAGAAGAGAAAGGACTGGGGGGGGGGGGGGGTGTGGCTGCAGTCACAAATTCTCAAACAGATATTTTATGATCAACTTCAAACCTGAAGCTTCTCCTTAATGTTATCTGCTGTCCCTTCATGAGAAAGACTAGGGGAAGAATCCATAACAACTGCTTGAGCCAATGCAGGCAGAACTGTTCTCATCATTGCTCCAATTCGTAAATTCCTGACCTTTGTGCATATCACAATTTTTTTTAGAAGGCAGAAACTAAATGCTCCAGAAAAAATGAAACCTTTAGCAATCATATCATCATTCAGGGAAGAGAAGCTGAGAATGCAAGATATGAGCTCAAATATCTTAAACATGCTGGGTTATTTGTTTAAAAGTTTAGGGATCCGAAGGTTCATAATTCAAGCATGAAAATCCAAGTAGGAGAAACATGTAACACCCTAATTATGAAGAACTCAAAAGGTGAAGACCAAGTACTCAGTTTCAAATGCTTAAATGCAAACTGCTTAACCCCCCATAACACAAACTTTAGTGATGCTGCTTCACATTAGTAGAACACTACATAAATAGACATTGAATCTCAAACAAACATGTGCTGAAAAAAAGAAAAAGTCTTCAATAGAATATTACCAAAGTTCTAACCACAAACTTCATCTCCTTCTCTCTGCATGACCGCATAAGATTCACAATGATGTTTTTCTTCCGGATAGTACTTCCACTGCCTGTTTGCACACTGATAATTGCCATATAAGGAAAATGGAACAGACAATAGAAATCTACATAACATTATGCATATAATGTGATGAAAAAAATTATTATTATGCTATCATGCAAATGTTGACGAAAAGTTTTAAAGTAAAAACTATATAATTCCCCAGCAAACTTTTAGTCTAAAAATGTGCACCAATAATCATATTCATATCCATCAAGCATCAAGTGCCTAGCAATACTGTTCATCCTCCATAAATTCCACATCATAGTAAAGAAAATGAGATCTTCAAAGATATAACTTTGCCTATCATCCGTTAGTCTATGTGAAATTATCTTTCTTCATTTATCAAATCATTTTGAAAATTGGTTCTCATTAGTAAAATTATTCAGTAAGAAGAACAAATTTGTAACATTAACATAAGCATTAACCAGAAAATTTACATTTTTATTTGCAATATATCATATATTACCTTCCTCTTAATTCCTGTAAATATGAAAATAAACCGATACATAATTATATTAATCAATATTTCTGCAATTCCAAAAGTAAGCATTGCAGCAGAAAACAGATTGGATTACTCATACCTTACTTCTCGGAGCATAGAAAACACATCACTAATTAAAAGTGGGGGAGGAGGAGCTAGCAAGGTTTGTTTCTGCCGGCATGCTTGTGCTACATCACCTTAGAACATGATATGGTATTTGGAAGGTCATCCAAGATAAGTATACAAAAAAAAAAAAAAAAAAAAGAGTATGCAATTATGCAAAACATAAGGAAAAAAAAAGAGAAGAATTACTGTTCCTACCAAGATCACCGAACTTGTTGTACAAATCCCTTACTTTGACACGGTTTGTCCCACATGCCTCCTCTAATGCTGAGGTCACTAAACTGCCCCCAATATTTAGTTCCTGTATCATTCATAAACCATAAGGCATCTGCTTAACCTGATCAAGCTATACACCTAACGCATAATTACAGCATCCTTGGAATAAAGGCAAGCATCTTTCAGGAGTGACAGAATATGATTTTTGGCACAGGGAAGAGTTAATGTACATTTCTACAGGAGCCATCATTGCGTTTTACAATAACAGCAATTAAAACATGATGTATGTCAAAAGCATAAATACCAAGGTCTAAGAATATAAAGTAACACCAGTTGTGCAATCTTTAGACGAAGGGAACTAGTGAGTTATTTAAGTTACACAGAATGACTAGTAACTTTGATAATGAGAACTTTATAGCAGCAACTTTCTAATAATTTGAGAAAAATCATTCCCTTTGAGGATAAAAACAATAAAAGAATTAACAATGCATGAAAAGTCATAGAAAGATCGAAAATGACATCTGAAGAAAGAAGAAGTAAACTAACAATATTTTCATGGTCAGGGGCAATCTTATTTGTGCACAGATACACAGCAGGAAGCACATCCTCCGGAGACAAAGCAAGCAAACTGGTTGTTACAAAAAATACAAGAAACAGAAGGTCACCAATCAGTTATTAATAGAATAAAGTCATAATTTATACCACAGTCAGGTGACTGTGTAAGGAATAGCATGCAATTTGTAGAGACCTTCTAAACATGTTGCAAAGCATAGAAGTAGCCTTGATCTTTCCTTTTTCAGCTTCAACCAGATCAAAAGCTCTTGAAAGATGGATATAAGGAGCTGGCTCACCATGCCTCCAGCATGCTGCATGTACATCCCATTAACAGTCTTAAAAAGTCGAATAATGCTAAGTAGTTCAATAAGAAGAACAACTAAAATTGGAAGAAATATATTAAGAAGTTCAAAAGGTTAAATAACTTCAGGAAAAATACTACATATGCCCCATAACTTTTAGAATTTAAAGATAAAGTAGAACAAAAATTAGTAAATCAAACAATCTCCAGATACCAACCATCTTCTATAGGTTTATATTTTTCCAAGGGTAATGATAAAAGGGTTGTGTCAGTGTTTTCCATTGAGTGCCGCACCAAAGATGAATTAGTGACATGTCCCAAGTTGTTTGCCAGATCTTTCTCATGGCCAGAAGAGAAAGTATCAGTACAGTTTTGGATCCGAACAGAATCACCAGAGACTACCATCTCCACACCTTTCTCGTGACAGTTCCCCTTGGGATTGCTATAATGTATATCCAGTGCCATATTAATATCTCCTTTAGTTTTCTCTAGCACAGTGAAAGCATAGCTTCTTGATGATTCACCAGCATTTATTATCTTGATAAACTGATCGATTTCCTCTCTGTATTCTTCAGTAGAATCACTTGGCATCATAATTACATCTTCAGGGCATTCCTCAGACTTTGACCCAGTTGTACCACCTTCAGAAGTACCTGGCAAAACTTTAGTGAAGAACCTTGTTATTGTGGATTGCTTTGAGCCACTAGAATCTGGTTTTGAATTACTTTTAACTTTCTTGTTTGACTTGCTCTGAATAGTTTTCCTCCTTTTGCCAGGAGAAACACTGCTCTTTCTCTTAGTTGAAAACTTCATGCTAGGAGCCCCGCGGCCTTGACTCAGATAAATGCCCTTATTAGCATTAGGACTGCTCTTAAATGAGCCAGCTTGAGATGTCAAAATAAAAGGATCTGATTTTGGAAGTGATGCAGAGTCATTAAATGAACAGGCCTGAGATGTAGAAACAGAAGTTTTACAGGCAGAGACTTGCTCATAAAATTCAGTTTCACGTTCATAAAAATTAGAAACTGCTTGAATGATATTTCTTCCTGAGCTGCTAATCAACTCCAATATTTGGTCCCTTGTGACCCATTTGGGCAAACAATCATGAAGTTCCTGGATAATTCTCTCTCTTTCTACATCAGTGAGAACACCTGAATCTTGCAAAGAGGATGAATCACCCAAACCAATAACATCAGAATTTCCAATTACTGGTATTATCTCAGATTTATTTTGTTTCTTTCGCTGTTCCAGTTCCTCATTTAAGTCAGCATTAGCACTCAGTTTAACCTTTTCACCATTTTCACATAATCCACGACGAAAGCCCAATAAAAATTCCTTCTTATTGGCCATTTCATCAACCAACCCAGAAAAATGCTTCCTCAATTTCTGAGCATGCTTACTGTCTAGTTTCTCAATATCCACACCGACTGTAGGATTAACCCTCCTTGGTTTCAAAAACCTCACATACTCCCTAAGCTCATCATAATTTGAATGCTCACTATATGGTACAAGGTGGATCTCAAATGAATCCTTAGACCTCACTGTAAATTTGTTGCGTTTCACTTCATAAGTCCAACCTGTTGGCACAAAGCCCACAACCTTATCATACCCCTTTTCCACCATAATTTCCTTCATTCTAACAAAATTGGGTCGAAAGTAAGGCCATGTCTCACCTAAAACATTCCAGCCAACCACATGAACATCAGTCTCACTCTCATCCTCCGTAAAAATCCCAGAATTCCCATAGCCCAGAACATGCAAAATTGCCATTTTCTTCCCATCTACATGTATCTTCCTATGACATCTGCTTGCAATTTCAACCAAAATCTTTTCTTTACCAACAACATAAGTGGCAACAAGAAACAAAACACTCTTCTTCGATTCCATGTACTCTCCTCCTATCCTCCCCACTACATTAACAACATATTCAACCGACTCTTCTTGCGAGGGAAACACAAACTTCGGATTGCAATACGTAGTATCCAAGAAAATTGCATCACAACCCACAAATTCACTTAAAAACCTATCCGATTTCATTGAATCAGAGAAGCGACAATCACCCGTGTGCACATACCTCTCAAAACTCCCGTTGCTACCTGGAATCTTGAACAAGAACTGAACTGCCCCAGGAAAATGATTGGCATCTATAAGCGTAACCTCGCAGCCATCAACAACTACAGTCTCATTCACGGGCAACTGAAAGATGAAATTTTGCGGAATCTTCAGCACTTCAATGAGGAGGCGAGCGGTGGTGGGCGAACAGAAGACGATACCTTTGGACCAGAAGGGAGTGAGGCCGAAGTAATGGTCGGAGTGGAAATGGGAGAGGAAATATGAGACCGAGAAGTCCGAGGCAAGACGGAAAGCGTCGACGAGGAAGCGGGTCTTGGGGATAAGTTTAGAATGAGGAAAAGATGAAGGAATTGGAGGAAAAGAAAGGGAGGATTGCGAAGAGTTGGTGGCCGAGAGGAAGAGACGAGTGGAGTCTAGGGTTACGGTTTTGGAGACGAGGGATTCAACCGCCATTGGCGATGGTCTGATGAAGGTTTAGAGAGGGAAATGAAGGCTCATGGAAGTAGACATGGAATTGAAGAAGATTATCGTTCTCTGTAATTTCGATTTGAGGGTTTGCAGAGAAGAAGTGAAGAAAGACTATTGGCGCCAAAGACGTCCGGCCCGCCGGGGGAGCACTGAGTGAAAAAGTATGGTAAAAATAGTTAATTTGGTCCCTAATCTTATATTGCAATTTCAATTGAGTTGTAAACCTTGTTCTTGTGTCAATACGGTCCGAAGCTTTTGAAGATTTCAATAATGATGTAATGTCCTTCCCTTGACTTCCCCTTGGTAAACCAATAATAATAGTTAATGAAGGTTGGCTCAGCTAATAAATTTCAATTTTCTTGAATAGTAATTTTTTTTTTAATATTTGAATTTTCTTGCAAACAAGTTCATATGAATTATTGTAGATTACCATATATATGTAAAGAGTAATACATTAATGGCAAATTTTCTACTTTAATCTTTAATTCATCAAAATCAAACCCAAAATTGCAACAAAAATATTGTTTTTATTATCATTTTGAAGAGAATATAAGTAAGGTACATACATACAAATAATCATGTAATGGGTACCCTATTGCCAGCCTATGACTCCTTACAGACAGGATCACCAGAACAAAAAGAAGGAATACCAAGAAAAAACAACATATGGCCACATTTGATGATTTTTCTCTCTTCTATATTCTGTCTGATCTGGTTCAAATTCCAAAACATTCTTCAATACCTGTACTTCCAATCTTTGATTCATCCATACAGATGCCAAAAACAACAAATCCAGCAGCATCGATCATCTCGAACAAATAGGTTCCTCTGCAATGGTTTCCAACATTGGTTTCCTAGACCTTGACATGGAAAACCTATGCATGAACTCCGGAGCAGAGAAATCTTCAATGTCATCCAAGTTAAGCCTCGGCACCGCCCTCACCTCCACAGCCTCATTTTTATCCGGGGACAAATCCCCGGATTCCGGTAAGATCCTCACCTTGCCGACAAACCCCCTTTTGGAAACAGAGTTGGCTGCGAGAAACAGAGCACCCATGTCGGCCGCGGTAACCGTAGAGTTGACTCTCTTCATGGGGAACATGACGTAGACGTTGGAAAGCTCAAGGTCCTCGTCAGCACTTAGAGGCGAAAACCGGCGGCCAATTTGAAGCGACCGAGAATTAACTAGAAAGAAATTGGGTGTCTCGAGCATGAGCTCGGCCGCCTTGGTGGGTGCGGAAAGCTGCCGAATTTCTCCTCCAGGGAAAACCACCTTTATCGACTTCGACGACTTCCCCAACGGCGCAGACAAGGTGCAGGAAACGTAGTTTCCCATGGAATAAAACACCGCAACACAGGAAGCAGGAAAGATGAGAGATTTGGGTTGAGATTGAGGGAAAGAAAGGAAATGTTTGGGAGTTTTGAATTTTGAAGAATGACGAGCGAGAAAGACTGAGCCGTGTTCGGAATGGAAGGAATGATGTTTGAGGGGATTTATAAGGGGAAAGGAAAAAGTCTGAGTGGGAAAGATTCTAACGGGAGCCAGTTGGAACGCGATGGGAGAGAGGAAAGTCAGATTTCCAAGCTGTTGGACATTGGCTTTTTCATTTCTTTACAATATTTAATTTTGTATGAACTCAAATATTTTGTTGTATGCGTGTGGGACCGTCACACACTTTGTTTGTTAGAAATTTCGGAATTAATTTAGTTTCTTTTTTTTTAATGTTTCTGTGACACACTGTAGAATGATCGTGGAAGGTTCATCAATTCATGTAATTCAAGTTATCATGTTTAGTGTTGAACTGGGGTTTTGATACCATGTGAAGGTTTCAATCTAAAATAACTTGGTATTTTGTTGGTGATTTTACATGTAAACATTATCTACATGGAAATACCATTTACACATTATAGGAAAAGTACATGATTTTTTTTTTTTTTTTGAACATAAGGGAATATGGAGGAATAAGGATAATTTAACTATTATTGCAACAAATGTCAGGAGTTCATGGTATTAAACTCCTGGCAACCAAAGCTACAAATGCAAGTTTATAATTTATTTAATTAGAGATAAACTCATCAATGTCATTATGAAAGTTTCATGATGAGAAAGATTATACATATAATGTTTAAAAATACTATATGAAATTTTAATAAATTTTATTGAATTATCTTTTACAAAAAAAAAGTTAAGGAATTTTTTTTTTTAAATGTGAAAAAGAGAAGTTTAGTTACAATAAAAAAAATTTATTAGTTAAAAATTATGCTATGGAAAATAAATATTATAAATGTCATTTTTTTCTCATTTTTTTGTAATATTAAAATGTAAAAATATTTAAATAATTCTATAAAAAAATTAGAGATAAATTTTCTTCAAACTAAATATACCCCTAGATAATATTTATAAAGAGACGTCCATAACTTGGTAATGAAAGCAAAAGGAAGCATGTAAGAAGTGTCAAAACTAAAATTTTGAGGTATGTTTGGTTTGAAAAAAAATAAAAAGAGAATTTTTGAATTAATTAAATTATAATTTTTAAATTTATAATTTAATCAATTAAAAAACTCTCCCACCTCTTTCTTTTCATTTTCGTTAAATCAAACAAACTATATCTTATATAAATAAATAAAGTTTTGGCCTTTAATAAGAGTCAACCAACTTTGCGTGAGGTTTTCTACAAAACTATTTTTCTCCTCCACAAACAAGGAGATGAAAATGAAGCGAAAATTCAATGAAAATGATGCAGTGGCGGTGGTTGACGGTATCCGTCGTCCACGCACGTCATTATAATAATTACCCCTCCATTCTCACTCAGGCATTTAATCAAACAGCTACCTTTTCACATTCTCCAAATCATCTTAATGTATAATTTAAGTAACGATGATTCAAGCTTCTTTAATCATTCTTGCTTGAGCCTATAGGCACTGGCATTACCAGATTTCTTTTGTATTTAAGCTAATAGAAAAAGGCTGAATTGATCCAATACTGTACTCCATTAGAGGAACTATTAATCTGTTATTTTAGAGCTAGCTTGCGGATTCCATTTGCCCCATTTAACAACCGTAAACAAATGCTTTTCACCAAATGGGTGTGTTAGACATCATTCTTTTTCTCTTTTATTTATTTGACCAGTTAGGTCTGATCAAATCCTAAATTGTAAGGCAAACCAAGTTTTTTTCTTTTTGACAATGAAAATTCTAAGTTAGTGAATTAGTATTTGTTCAGGTCAAAATTGAACCAAATATCATACGAACTCCACCTATTACTCGTGGAGTAGCATGGCCCATCCATTGGGTCACATGGGGGAGTTCAATAAGGCAAACCAAGTTGAAAATATGGTTTGAGTCCCTTGTAAGTATAGAGTTTTATCAAATACTTGTGAACAAGATTGTTTATGGTTTCATTGAAATCTTTACAGCAGTCTAACTAACTTATTGAGAATATAGCTCTATAGGTAACATCTACATGATAAGTTTAAGCAGTAGTTTGGAGAAGCATATGCATGTTTAAGTGTTTATTATAGATTATCTCACCTTAGGATTAAGGAGTAGCTGTTTGGACTTATTCCAGCAGTGTAATGTCTATTTACACTGTGCAAATACATGTCCGACCCAGACGATCAGAAGCTTCTTCTAGAATTTCTATGACTGCTGTGAAGGAGGGCCTTTCAGAAGGATCTTTACTTGTGCACTGTTCTATCAGCCTAAAATGGCAGCCACACAACTTATCAACAGCAACTACAAACAAGATGGAAAAAAAGGGTCTAACATGGATTCAAAAATGTGACTTGCAGCTCTTACCCAATCAGCTAAATTAACTTACTGTTGAATTCTTTTAGGACACCGGCTAATCTCAAACTTTAATTCCAAATCAATAGGCTCGACATGAGGGAAGTGAGAGTTGGTGCTGCTCATTTGGTGCATTCCTTGTAGCATCTGTTACACAATAATATTTATAATAATGGCAATAAAAAATAAACAAAGGATGTGTTTTCCATATAATAACAGCAATGATCACAATAGCAATAACAATATCTACGAGAACTAATGAGTTTTGTCATTATTGCAAAGAATAGTAACCCTGTAATTATTCAAATTCATTTTAATGTGAACAGTCTGAGTTCTTAATATGGAAAACCTTGCATGAAATTTTCATGTGAAGCAAGAAAATTAATGTCTGAAGTAATTTCTAATCATGAATGTATGTATATTAGCTATGCATATATACCTGATAAAATATAATTCCGAGTGAATAAATATCTTTCTTGGTGTCATTGAATGGATTGCTCATAATGCTAAAATTTTCGTTCATTTGGCCTGTGAAAAGGAAAGAGAATCTTTAGATGTAGTAGCGAACTAGCAATAACAAACGTGTAACATTAATTAACAGGTGAATTTAACTGATTAACATACCGCAATCTTGATTTGGATGTATTTGTTTGTACAGCAATTCAATCCAGTACTCGCCAATTTTCAAGTGGTCACCTTCATCCTGCAACAAGTTTCTACATCCAGAAAGAGAGAATGATTCTAAATCTATAATTAGACTGCAGATGGATGATTTTTACTCTTTAAGTAATTAATAATGAGAAACTTTTTCTTTTTGATCCATCAGAAATCTTTCATCATGCAACCGCCTTTTCTATTTTGACATGTTTCAATTAGTGAATGGAACTATTCCTTCACCCTCCCACTCTTTTATAATGATTAAAGATGATATAAATTACCTGAGATCCAAATGATTGTGTGCTATCGGATTTGGCTTGTGCTCATGAAGATAATTCATTCCCCTGTTAGTTCTGCAGTAAGAAATATTAAAACACCAACAAATATTTGAGAGAAAAAAAAATGGTGAGAAGAACAGGTAGGTTCCTTGTTACTCTCCTTTTGATACACACTTCTCCTTAAAATAGATATGGTGCAAGAAAGAAAAACAAGAGAACAAGCAGATTACCTGGCAATATCAAGCACGTTGCGCAAAGCAGTGGGAAGGTCAAGCCGAGTTTTATCATTCAGTATGTCTTCCAGGTTCCCCTAAATTACTCAAACAGCACAAAAAAATGTGACAAAAATCAATTAGGAAAATCAGTAATGAAAGGAACATGTTCCTTTTTAGTTTCAACTTTCAACTCTTGTAAGGAAAAAATTAAATTTAAAAATGACACAGAAAAAAAATTTAACTCCTGTGATTGTTTTCAAGTATCTTACAATACAATTACTAGAAAGATTAATTTCCCATGCAATTAATTTTAGGAATTACGTGTAGTCTAATGTGAAGCTTAGATTACCAAGACCAACTGTTCCATATTCTTAAGTAAGCTGTAAGTATATGCTAAGGCTAATCTACCATAAAAAATAAAAATAAACTACTAGAGCTCTAGTGATCCATGTCGATCCTATAAACTCCTTATTGAGAAATAATATATTGATATTTTCTTAGCATGAAATACTTTTGGGAGATTTTCTGTAATCAAAATCATCTCTTCCCCCTGCACAATTGAACCGAGAAACTGCAAATATTGGGATGTCTAAGTTCTTGTAAGAGAGTATTATCCCTGGCAGACATTATCCTGCATCATGCTTGAAGCACAGCATCAGTTTCTAGATTAAAGAAATAGTCACTGATATAAAGAAATAGAACTTGGGAAACAAGAAGATAATTACAACTGAACATCCATTTTGACGGGATGATGCATCTGTCTCTTAATAACTGTTTTGACAACCCATGTTCCACACCACTGGACCTTTTGAGATTCACCAAGGACACCCTAAGACAATAAGAACAGTAGGAAAGGTCAACTAAAGGAAGTGAAACTTCCAGGGAATGGCTTTGAAAAGCCCTCACAATTTAGTTAACAGAACTGTGTAAAAGTAATTGACCTCAAGACACATTTCGATTTATGAGCTGCAGTGTGGACTGGGGCATTAGTCAGGAAATTGGCTTTTCGTCAGGCATTCGTTACAAGACCAGGTGTAAAAGTCATTTAGTCAAATTTCAGAATATACGCATCCATTTCATTTCTTGCTCTTAATCATAAAACAAAATTAGCCACACATGGCTAGAATGTAATACACGTTTCCTTAACATCTCAACCAATCTCTATCTAGTCTTAAGCATTCAACTATAGATGTTTTTGAGAATCTAATTGCTTACATAGTTTTCAGTATCTGAACAATAAAACTACAAAGAAAAATGTGAAATTAGAAAGTCATATTCTTGTCAAGACTTTAGGCATCACTAGACATGGTATACAAAAGAGACAATGACATTAGAAAGAAACTACAAAATTGCAGTCTCACATGATGAATCAGCTCAAATCAAACAATGAAGGCATATGTAAGTCAATGGATGAACTTTGCTTATATAACCGCTCAATTCTTAAGGAATGCTCTGTGTTCAACTCTGAAATATCAATAACTTCATTTGAATCTTGTTAATGCCAAACCATCTGTGCAACAAATGAAGAGGTACATAAGCTAACAAGACAACTCATAGGTGCTAGAAGAAATAACTTGAGAATATGATTTGAAATACACAATATATACTTCAAAAACTTTTAAAAGCAAAATCCTGAGAATGTATCTGTTCTCACAGGTACACCGCTGAAGGTAAGCAGTCTGGGGCTTATTCCAGTCAGTCAAGATACCCATGTCATCCACTGTTAGGATAAATTTCCTCCACCAGATAGAAGTATCCTAAGTGTGAGACTACTTATGTATTTATCTGATACCTCCCTTATATACAGCTTAAAATTGATTTTTGTGCTTCAACCATACCTAATATATATGGCAGTTGCACTCTAAATCCACTATCCTTCCTGGGTTATATTACATCCATGCATGCAAGAGGTTATGAACTTAAGACAGCAGGACATCTAAGTATTCAATCACTATCGAATCTTCAAAATAAGCCATAGTATTTTTGATTGAGTTCCAATTTAATTGACTTAAACATGGAACTTTACTTCTGATAACATGAATCTACATCGTCAAGACCCCAAATCCAACACATAGAAACCCGCTGCACCCATCTTAAACTGTTTTGTCTAATGACCCTATCTACATCATTCAATCAATTACCATTGGCTGATCATTGGAAAAATCGTTATCATCCACAACATCCTTCCCTCCATTTACTTCCAGGATTCTGCATATATCCCGATGCCCGTAAAGTCTTGCATCTGTCAAGGGCTTCACACAAAAATCAATATATAGAATTAGTATTAACCTAAACGAGTTTTATTTTATCAGTCTAGGAATCAGAATGAAAACTTAAACTTAAACCCCTCGCTCTTGCATCATGAATCAAACACTAACATGAACAAATTAAAGAGAGAGAAAATTGAAAAGGTGTCAACTTTCCTGTACCAGGAAATCCAAAAGAGGAAAGGGGACTTACAGTGCGCTGCCACTGGTCAATGAGGTTAACATTAGCGTTGTAATGCAGGAGAAGCTCGACAATGGGCGCGTGGCCTTCACTTGCGGCAAGATGCAAAGCAGTTCTTTGTCATAGTCCTGAAAATCGGGAGAAATTCCCTCTTGCAGCATCTGGTTCAGTCCAACCCTATCACCCCACGAAGCAAAATTCAAGAAGTTCCCGATCAACAGCATGTCAAAGTCACCCACAGTATCATCACCCTGCGTTTGACCCATCATTTTGATTCTCCAGAAACCTAAAACAAAACAGGAATAAAGTATGAGATACTGATTTTTGTGATTCTTCCAGTTGGTTTCTCATGAAACAGGAGATAAGTTGAATTACCCATGTCCAAAATCTTGGGGTTCCTTTGTTGGAGATGAACTGACAAGAAGGATATATGTATCCATGGAGATGGAGGCACTAGGTAAGAACGTTTTTCTGTTGGGAAAATGGCGGTGAAGTCTAGGAACAGAGGCTTTGATTTTAACGACCAATTGTTATATATAGTATTTAGATGAAATGAAGATATCAAGGCTGGTGCCTTTGTCACCTCCTTTTGTTTCTTATTATAGCCTGTTTCTAAAACTTAATTAAATCAGATGTATTATAAATTTGTAACTTATGTCTTCTTTTTGCATAAGCATTTTTTGGACCATTTCTACCAGGTCTAACCATGTTTGGATTCTCCTAGTTTGAAACTTCCAATCTTCATCCTCCAAAAAACTGAGTCAAGAGGGGTGAGAGATGGCCTCTATATCTACTGAATCACATCCCATGACCGGCGGAAATGGGCAGTATAGTTACACTCGCAATTCCACATTGCTGGTATAGTTTCCATCTTTTCCTTATTCTGCTGCCCTTCTTTTGATTTCCATTTTGCTTTTTGTGCAGCAGTCGTAAAATTCATTAGATTTATTATTTTGCAGAAGAAAGGAGTGGAGAGTCTCAAAGCTTTGATAGAGGGGGCAATCCAAGAGAAGCTTGATATGAAAGAAGTCATTTCTTCATCTCCTTCAAAAGTATTTACGATTGCAGATTCTTCATCTCCTTCAAAAGTATTTACTATTGCAGATTTGGGATATTCTATTGGTCCCAATACCTTCATTGCGGTGCAAAACATTATCGAACCTGTAAAACTTAAATACAAATCTACTTTCCAGGATGAAGATGATCTCCAATTTCAGGTACTATTCAATGACCTTCCCTCCAATGATTTCAATACCCTTTTCCAGTCTCTTCCTCTGGAGAGGGGCGGTACTTTGCAGCTGGAATTCCAGGTCAATTTCAAGGTCGCTTGTTCCCCAAGGCATCTCTACATCCTGTCCACTCTTCTTATGCACTTCACTGGCTTTCAAGGACTCCCAAGGAGTTGGAGGTCATTAATAAGGGGAGCATATATTATCATAGATCCCCAAAGGAAGTTATGGAGGCTTATTCAGATGAATTTGCCACGGAGATAGTCCTTTTTAGCTGCAAGGGCTGAGATTTGTTGCTGGAGGACTCATGGCTATTCTGGTAACATGCCTACCAGACGGGTCTTCTACCTTCGGACTGTGTTTGCTATGCACTTACTGATCTCTTGGAAGCCAGCCTCTTAGACATGGTCAAATTGATAAAAGACTAATTAAACGGAAATTCCAATATATATGCTACAACTGTGTCCCATATCTCCATGGTTATTTGTATTTTAAGCCGTGTTGATTGCACCAGGGATTGGTCAGTCAAGCGCAGATCAAGTCTTTCGACTTGCCAACGTACCAAGCAACACCACAGGAACTTGGTGCCCTGATAAAAAGAAATGGCTGTTTCAGCATTGAGAGAAGCTCTGCCTCTCTCCTTGGTTGAACTTGGGGAGGCTTGTATGTACCAGATTGTTATGTTGCAGACGAGAGCACTCTTTGAAGGATTTATCAGGGAGCACTTTGGAAATGGAGTGTGGAAGAGCTGTTTGATCGTTACTTGAAGAAAATGGAAGAATGTTCATTGTTTTCGAGGTGGGCAGAAGACAAGGAGTTCATCCATTTATTTGTTCTGCTCAAGCGCAAGGCCAACTGCTAATACATACTATTGGTTATAGCTTCAGCTAAATAAGACATGAGGCAGATCTGCCAATATAAAAGCATGTTTTCTCTCTCTCTCTCTCTCTCTCTCTATATATATATATATATACATTTGTGTGTGCATGCGTGCGTGCGTGTTTTTCCTCAAACTTGCCATTGTAAGCAAATGTAATTTTACTGTATCAATAAAAGATATTTCAAGTACTGGAGACAGATATGGTAGAGATATAAAATGCAAGGCTAGTTTACAATGTACAGTGAGTGTTATTATTGTAGTTTGGAATGGTTAAAGAAACAATAGTGAAAGCCAATCACTAAGAAAAATGTTACACAGAACATTAAGTTTTTTCTTGCCAGATGGAAATAACCTTAGTCTGAAGATATCTCAGGCGTGACACACGTGGTATCTGATTCATGTTTCATTGCAAATTCAGATGGTTTGTTTTTAGCCATTTTCTCTATCTTGTTAGAGAATCCGAGTCGGTTGAATGAAAACCTCAGACTATAATATAGTTACTCCACGTATCAACAATTGATTATAAGCATTATGCTTTTGTGATGTTAAAATCCACCCGTTTTTCTTTTAGCATGCTATCAAAACTAAAGGAGTGCGTTAAATGGGAGAATCTCACACGATCAGATAAATATAATATGTCATTACCTGTTACTTTGTCTTCTTGTTCTTATTTAAGCCAGTTCTCACACATAAAATCTCAAGTCTGCAATCTCAAGGGTGAGACATGGCCTCTGTATGGACCATGTCGCAGCCCATGAGCGGGGGTGATGGAGAGTACGGTCATGCTCAGAATTCCATATTTCAGGTTTCTTTCTTCTTTTGTCTTTTAATTCAGTTTTCTCTGTTGTTTTGGACAAGCAGGTTTATAATTCATCATTCTAAGTTCAATATTTTGCAGAGAGGAGGAGTTGAAGCAGTCAAAGCTTTGATCCAAGAGGTAATCTAGGAGAAACTTGACATAAAGCAGGTCATTTCTTCAAAAGATTTTGCCATTGCAGATTTGGGATGTTCTGTTGGTCCCAATACATTCATTGCTGCGCAAAACATTATTGAATCTGTAGAATTCAAATACAAATCTAATTTCCCAGAGATAGATGATCTCAAATTTCAAGTACTATTCAATGATCTTCCCACCAATGATTTCAAAATCCTTTTTCAGTCTCTTCCTCCAGACAGGCAGTACTTTGCAGCTGGAGTTCTAGGCCGATTTCACAGTCAATTGTTTCCCAGAGCTTCTCTCCGCTTCATCCACTCCTCTTACTCCCTTCACTGGCTCTCAAGCACTCCAAAGGAGTTAAAGGAGATAAATAAGGGAAGTATATATTATCACAGAGGGTCAAAGGAATTTGTTGAGGCTTATTCAGCTCAATTTGCAAGGGATATGGAGTCATTTTTAGCTGCAAGGGCAGAGGAGGTTGTTGTTGGAGGACTCATGACCCTTCTCCTGCTATGCCTCCCTGGTGGTTATCTACCTTCAATGCTCCTTCTTTGCTTTTACTAACCTCTTGGAAGCCAGCCTCTTAGACATGGTTAATATGGGATTGATCAGTGAAGAACAAGTAGAGTCCTTCAACTTGCCCTTAATACTACACAACTCCACAGGAATTTGGATCCCTGATAAAGAGAAATGAATATTTCACCATTGAGAGAATGGAATTCTTGCCTCGCTATTTTGATAAACTCAAGAAGGAACTATTCCAGAAGGCTCCAAACAGGAGCAAGATATTGTGATGTTGCAGACAAGAGTTATATTTGAAGGACTTATCAAGGAGCACTTTGGAGAAAAGATTGTCAATGGGCTGTTTGATCGTTACATGAAGAGAATCGAGGAGTGCATGTTGGTTTCACCATAGCCAAATGACAAGCATTTGATCGAATTGTTTTTTCTTCTCAAATGCAACATCAATTGATCATGTCTTTTTACTAGTTTATTATTGCAGATACTATTAAAAAAATCATTGTGTCCACCTATAGAAAAGCATATGGTTCAAAAATAAATTTCAACAGTGACTAGTTCTGATCAAATCAATGTCATATGTCGTAAAAATGTCAATAATGTCTGATATCTTGTGCTTGTTTTTACTTTCGTGTATTATTATATACATTATCATTCTGAACTTTTGTTCTTGTCTTGCCATGGTTGTCAAGTTCACCAAGTACTTAACTCCAGTTCTCGTCTTGGCATGGTTGTCAAGTTTACCAAGTCACACTCACACTTCTCCTAGAAATTTCAGAAGAAAATCGATAAAAAAAAAAAAAATCATTTGGGTGAAATTACTCACCCTGGACAATCATATCAGACAATCAAATTTGTGAGAGAAAAGAAATGGCTACTATATCAGTACTTCCTACGAAGGGTGGAGATAGCCCATACAGTTATACTCAGAATTCCTCCTTTCAGGTATATACTTTCCTCCTCTCTCTCTCAGTTTTTGCATCAAGATGTCAAGATATAATGATAAGTGTTACAAGTACTTCGTTGCATATGTTCTCGAGATGGAGTCAAATCTCTCTACCTTCAATATCAATTTAAATCATACACTTTGAAAGCAGAAATCAAGAAATGGAAGTGATAACAAATAGTCCATTTTACTTTTCTTTGTAGAGAGAAGGAATACAAGCAGCCTTAGTTTTAATCAAGGAGTCAATCTTAGAGAAACTTGATTTGGTGCAAGTGATTGCTCCAAATTCTTCTTTTTTCATTGTTGCAGATTTGGGGTGTTCTGTTGGGCCTAATACAATCATCGCAGTGGAAAACATCATAGAATTTGTAAAACCCAAACACCAATCCATCCCTTCTAATCAAGAACGTGATCTTGAATTTCGAGTATTCTTCAATGACCTTGTCACCAATGATTTCAACACCCTATTCATGTCTCTTCCTCCAGAGAGACAATACTTTGCAGCTGGCACCCCTGGTAGTTTCCGGGGTCGCTTGTTTCCCAAGGCATCTCTCCAATTTGTTCACTCCTCTTACACCCTTCACTGGCTTTCCACCATCCCGAACGAGTTGGTAGATGAGAACTCCCCAGCCTTCAACAAAGGAAGGATCTGTTTTAACAATTCCCCATAGGAAGTTAGGGAGGCATTCTCTGCTTAATTTGCTAAGGATACCGAGTCATTTCTGTTAGCCAGGGCAGAGGAATTGGTGGGTGGAGGACTCATGGCAATTGTCATAGTATGCATCCCAGATGATGTTGCTTATTCACAAACCGTGTCTTGTGTAATCACTGATGTTCTCGAAGCCTGCCTGCTCGACCTGGTCAAAGAGGTAGTAACAACTTATATGCTTAACTAATCAAAAAAGAAAAAGAAAACACTTGGTTTTTTCCATTTTGGTGTTAATGGGAAATGTTGGTTTGATGTGGTTAGGGAATGGTAAGTGAAGATAAAGTGGACTCCTTCAACATGCCCAGATACCAGCCAAAGCCGAGGGAACTGGAGGCATTGATAAGGAGAAATGGGTGTTTCACCATTGAGACACAGGAGGAATTGGTTCGTCCTGAAAACCCAATGGGGAATGCGTTTTCAAATAAGCAAGGGATGTTGTCACACTTGAGAGCTGCTTTGGAAGAACTTGTCAAAGAGCACTTTGGGGCTCAACTGGTTGATGAGTTGTTTGATGATACTTAACAATGTCTTCTTTGGATTTACAAGCACTGAGCCACAGCTACAAGCCCCTAATGGAAATGTTTGTGCTTCTCAAGCGAAATATCATTTGAATCTGGTTCAATGGTCGTCATGACATTTATGACTGGTTATTTCTCAGGAATGTAAAAAGAATAAAAAGGGAAAATGTACTTAGTTTGTTTTATAAAATATAATTATTGTTATGTTTGTAAATTCTATTCTATTGTAATAAAAAAATTTTAATTTTTTAAACAAAGACTTTGTTT